AATAGAATTGGGGGAAGGCCATCGGAGCCCGGCGGTATGTGACGTCCCAAGGCATGGATCTCCATACGGATTTTTGTTTTAGAAGGTGGGTCTGTTGAGACAGACCATGGGACGTGTGCCGGAGTAGCTGTGTGAGAAGCTGATGCTGGCGGTCAGCTAAATTGTTCCTCGAAGTGCTCTACTCAACTTGAAAGAATTCGATGTAGATTTCTATTATGTGAGCCGTCAGTTGCATAAATGGTTTGGTGATGCACCGACGCCTCTATCTCATCAGCATTCTAAGATTTTCGACTGATTTCTTCTTTTTGTTCCCTGATCCGCCCGATCAGTGTCCGTGTTCCGGTAACAGAAGAAGTGAAACACGTAAATGCAAGGTTACAATCTGCCGAAACTCGGCTGAACTTAGAAAGATAGACATTTGACTATGTATTCGAGAAGTAGTACTCCAACTATCCAGGAAAACGATGTGAAATCTCATTAGGTAATCTTTCGACCGTGATCATATGTGCGTCTTTTTCTCAATCTTAATTTTTACCAGCCTGTAAAGCCTCGCAACGCTCCGGGAGCTGCACTGCGCGTGCGTTCCGTATCCTCAGAAAGTGCAAGCGAAATTGGTATTGATGCATCATCAGTTGCCGGCTTCACTGTAAATCCAGACTTCTACACGCATCGTGCGCATCGTGGTGATCAACCAACCGATCGTATCGAGGAGGATTCTGAGCGTCAGTTTGTCAAAATGAAGGCACACCGCCAACTTCCTTCAGGGGTGAGTTTAACTAAGTTTGTTTTGCGAATACAGTAATAATTAGAGTCAGTTCGATAACTGTGTCAACGGATAGTACAGTGGGATAAATTTTTCTCCAATATGCTCTTAATCACTAATCTCGTCAAACAATGCCATCTGAGCATTTTGAATAAACCGACAATTTTCATCCATTTCTCCGATTTATTCAGAGCTTTATGAATCTTGTTCTGGGAGTTGTTAGCGAACTTTAGTGTTTCACTTCTTTCCCCCCATTGGTTATTGACCAGTTGTGTTTCACTACGAATTCTGTTTGTACCTTCCTTATGTGAATCTTCGCTATTCGTTTGCGAATTTTTCCATTCATTTCTTAACTCAACTTTCCTGTTTTCGGCTGGTATACATTAGGATGCACATTTAGGTTGTGTACTCTGTGTTGACGATGGAGGTTCACCTTCTCTGTCCCCTCCAGTCATTCCCAACTCCTATCCATCTTGCATTTTATCACTTGCTTTGTGCCCATTTTGAGCTTGGCAGCGATCAGCAAACTTCGCTTCGCTGTTTCTCGCTGTACGCTGGTGATGCATTAGTTCTATGTGAACTTCGCCTCAGTCGTTGTTCGTTCTGATTCCCGTCCGTTTTCTAATGTGTATAGTAATAGCATTTATCTTTTTCAAATAAGTGTGCTCCTCATCCCAGCTTATTGCTACTCACAAAACCCAACAGTATTGTAACGTGTTTGGGGTCGCGCGTCTAGTTATCCTATTTTGTAACGTACTTATGTGAGGTTCCTTTGTCCTAATACTGACCCGACTAGTTTGCGATTTCCCACCCAGTCCTCTCTATCGGCGCGGCCACGGTTTCGACACGTCAGAGCGGACCAATAGAGTTGCTCACCAACTTACTTTCACTTACGAATATCGGATAAAAGTATCAAACTCTTATGGTGAACGCCTATGAAAGCACACGCAACAATGACTGAAATTATTTTCCTGAGATTAGCAAAAAGGTGAAACGCTATTTTATTTACTAGTCTCCTTNTGGATAATATGCTATACTGCGTCACTGGACTCCGATCTCGAACACATCTCCTCGTGGGGCATTGCAAACCACGTTTCGTTCAATAGTTCCAAAACATCTCTTCTTTCAATTTCTTTAAAACACCATTCGTTCTCTCCCCCCCAGTTATCATTTGATTGCACCCAACTGCGTTCCACAGACTCTGTTCTCCTTTTTGGACTGCCTATTACTTCTTCTTTATGCTGGTCCCCTTTTATAACCAAGCTCGCTTCTCGTGCTGCGCGCAAGGTTGGATTTCTATTTCGCGCCAGACGTTTTTTTCACCTCAGCTCATCTTC